AATATAATGTCAGGCATCTGATGCCTCAGTAACAGATGAAAAGAGTGGAACTTCATCTCTGCAGGGCTTTACACTTACCTTTTTATCATTATATTTTTCTAAAAGTAAATTATTTGTTGGCACATAGTGAGTAGTCCATTTTGTCACCATCACTTTGGCTTCAGCTGATTTGAGCCTTAAATCTCCAGCTATTGATTTAAACCCCCCCAACCATTAAACTTTTTGTAGCAGGTAAATGTTCATGAACTGCTGTTGCCTATTACTTTCAAAGCAGTATTTGTCTGCAGCTTTGAATCTTTCAGTCATACCAGTAGTGAAGGGTTTTTTTTTCCCCCTCTATAAAAAGTGGTGGTATAAAAATGGCACTATAAGAGTCTCCCTGTTTTCTGTAGTCACAGTGCTCTCTGTGACACACTCAGCATTGCAGAGTAGCTGCAGCTCTGGGAGAGAGCTTACATGTCACATGGAATTGCTAAGGAAGTTTAAGTAACTCTCTAAGAAATCCACTGCAGATTGATTTGTACAGCTGTAAATGAGGGCAGAACAGGGCTGATAGGATCTTTATTACTAATGATCACTTATGTTTCAGCAACAACAAATTTGACTTAATTCCAGTCCAAATTTTTTGCATTTGAATTTAAGCAGAGGAGATGCTGTTTCTTGTTAGTCCTTTTTCTTTGTTTGTTTTATAAATACTCATCAAATTATAATAGGAAGTTAATGAAATGTAACCAGAAAACCATAGGACAAGGAACTGTACTTCAGAGTCCCCACCCATCTTCAGGGATCAGAGCTGGAGTGTAACTGGTTGTGCTGTGGAAAGGAGCTGTCCTGTCCTCCCTTGTAGATATTGTAGGTGTGTTGGTACATTTGCAGACCTGTTGGTACAGTCACAGCAGTGACAGCTTGTGCCTGGACCTCCATCCAGACAAGGAGAACCACAGCACAGCAGATACAAATGCCTAGATCCCACTTAGTTAGTTGTGAGTGAGTAAAGGTTAGCTGGGAGTTTCTGTCCTTACATAACTGACTGGCCCTAGTGTCCATTGTACCTTCAGCTGTATTACAGTGCTGCTGAGCCCCTTCAATTTTCTTCAGGAATCCACGTGTAAAAGCTCTTGCTTTTTTGTACTCTCTCTGTGATTTGCTTTCCTCTGTTCCTTGTCTTGCACTTACGGTAGTGATGCCACCTCTGAACCCGTAATGTGTTTAAAGAAGTTAATGGGTAGCCCTGTATACAATGTAGATATTATTTTTGTAAAATCTAGGGCTGAGTTAATGGACAAGAGTACATCAGCTATTTCCCCCATTAAATAAAATGTGTGTCTTGTCCATTAACCCCGACCATTATTTCCCTGTATATTATGTTAATGTAGCTCATTTTGTAATTTGTTAACTAGATCAGGTCACGTCAGCAATTGTTGATGCACTGATTGGTGGAAATGTCCATCAGTTACCTGAGTCACAACTCAAGCTAAACTCTACAAGCGGTAGTTTAGAATCCACACATAGAAAAAGGTTCTCCCTATATTGGGAGAAAGTGATTTTTATGAATACAAAGTGTGTTAATTTCAGTTTTGTATGTTTAACTTTTATTAAATAAAGTGTTTAAAATCTGCTGGATATATTTGGTGAAGTGGAATTATTTATGGGGGAAGGATAATAGTAAATCATCAGGATAGGGGTGAGTACAGCACAATCTGCTGGACAGAATATCGTACTCAAAAGTGGCTCTGAAATACAACACACTCATTGCAGGATGAAGTAGGTGTTCCTTAATTCCTCATCTTCACTGGTACCGGGGGCATTAAATTTTCTTTTGCATAGAAAACATCTCAAGAGTAAAATAATCTGCTGTTTAGAAAGGGAGTTTGTACTGCAGCCTGCAGCTAGAGAGACATCCCAGCAGTGACATTAACTGGGAGCCAGTCGTGCTATACTGACAGCTCCATGCTGAGGAAGGTCACCTGTCGTCTTTCACAGGTGGCTGTGATCCACTGTCCCTTTCATTTATCCAAAAGAAACATTTTGAAGTCAGAGCTGACACATGCTAAAGCAGGCACAACTGGAGTTTTCAGGAAGCCTATTCTGAACTCCACCTGTTCTTTTAATAGAAAATAGTCTTTGGAAAAGAAGGCTCAGTTCATACCTGACATACACTACATCTGCTTATCTTTAATGCAATGAATACAGTCAATAAACCATCCCAGGGCTATTTATTTGTTCACTGGTCCTGGAGAGCAATGGTGTGAGTCATCAGAACACAAGGGGTGTGTGAACCTCCCCTGCAAGGGACAGTCCTTGCTGAAGCTTAAACATCCCTCGATGAAAATTAATCCTTGCTGAAGCTGTATCCTTGCTGTATTAAAATAAAGCTTCATCACATGTCTGCAGCACAGCATTCTGCAAGACAAGATGTTGGAAGACTTGCTGAAGCCCAAACTACCCAGCTCACCTCACCACTTGCTCCAGGCCTGCACTGGCAGATTTCTTCCAGTGTGATAAAAATTAATTGCTACCCACAGCTTTTACAGCTTGTTTGGTGTTCAAGATCTTTCCCAAAAGAAGTGACATTTCACGCCTTTGACCTGCATCAGCCAGGCCAGCAGCACTGTGTGACTCAAGTGTTCAGCTCATACGAGCCCACACCTCAAAGGACACATCCAGCCTTCTCAGAGGCTGCTCAGCAATCCCTGATCCTTGGCATTTTTGAAGGGGTCTAAACATATGCATGTTGTAACACAACTTTAGTTTTAGCAGCATCTGAACAGAACCCCTCCAAAAAGGTGTTGAGTACCACAGCCACAATACCAATACCCACAGACTCTCTGCTCCTGCCTCTGCCTAACAACTAAAGGGATCAGTCCTCTTTGCAGGAGGAAATGAGCAGAGAAGCAGAGGCTAGGGCTGGTGTATTATTCCCAGTTAAACAACCTGCCTTTCAGTAAAAGGAAAACACTGTCTGTGCAGACACCACTCTCCTGTACTCATCCTGCCAAATGTCACTCAAATCTGGTGGCACATTTCAAGAAAATGTGACAGCACATCAGTGTTTTCTAGGTATTTTGTGCAGACTGGGGAAGAGAGGGGCAGAAGGACACGCTCCTCTTCCCCGAGGGTCCCACAGGACTATTCAGAGATTGCATTGCTGATGCAGAGGAGTTTCAGTCACTATCAAGTCATGGAGTTTCTCACGCACTGGACAATATGTCCATGGGAGAAAGCTCCAGGAAATAAAAATAGGACTTTATTCTGCTTTTATATGGTTTTTCATTATTATCACCTCTCTAATCTAGAACAAAGTCCTGTTTTTTACCATTCTCTTCTAGGAAGTGATCCTGATTTCTCTCTCCAATTGGTGTCAGAAAAAATGACACAAAAAAAGCTTATGTTCCTGGGTGGGGACAAAACAGAATGACTGTCTCCAGTTGGAGCACCCGATGGATCCTACTTCCACTAAAGCAAAATGTTTCATCCATTCCAACAGGGCAACACAGCAAGCAGGGAACAGCGTGTATAAGAGAACAAAGCAGAAAAGCAGGAGGCTGGAGTGCACAAACAGATAGTAGCAAACAAGCAAACAAACAGACAAAAGGAAAACACAATCACAAATCCCAGAAAATGATAAGGCTGTCTAGTTAACCCCCTTTCTATTGACCTACAGATTTCTTGAGACAGACAGATGTGAGAACACCTTCGTCACTAACATGCTGCTAATGGAACGGACATTAAAATGACCTTCAAGTGACAACTCACCACAGGATAACCGTGACAAATGCAGCCAGATAGTCATCTCCACCTTGTCTGCAGACACGAGATGACATTCCATAATACACTTGTGTCAAAAGAAGGAAAATGCTGGATGGTCTTTTTAATGGGTTTGTCTGTAGCAAAGAGACCCACCGGGGATCTAATTTACAGAAGGAGGACTTGACAGAATGAGCTTATGAGAGAGCTGTGCGTGTGTGTGCATGTGTGCCTACTGCATGGGAAGGCTGCCTCAGGAAAGTGCATCCAATTCTGCTTTTACAGGAAAGGTCACCACATTCTTGTAAGATTATAGCAACTTCCCTAAAAATTTATCATCTTGAACATTACAACATGAGAAACTAGACCAGTGGAAGGAGATTTGAGGAGGACAGCAGCTGTGTGAGGTAAGAAAAAGCAGAGTCTACAAAGCAGAAACAAATCAGGGCAGGACAATTTTGAAAGTCTAGAGAAATGTTTCCATCACGTAAGAAATTATCAAAACTCTATCTGAAATCTGCTACAAAGAACTCACCAGCACCAGAGCAACCAACCCCAAGTCTTTGGAGTTATTATAAAGGCTCTTAATTTTGTTTTCCTTGAGACCACAACACTAGAAAAGGCAGGAGATACCAAACTGCCCCAGAGCATTACAAACAAACATTTCAAATGCATTTATTCCAACCATAGACATATCACTGTTTTATACCAACTAGGAGAACATGACCATTCTCCATCCCTTGAACTTCAGTGCTTCTCAGCTGTGGCATTTCTTCCCCAAGTGGGCATTTAACACAAACAGGAATAACAGGAAAGAGGAGGTGCTGGGACAGCTATAGAAAAGGGCTCATGAATAAATAAATTCCACTGGTATCCAACTGCTCAGCATCAGCACTACCAGTGGTCAACACTTCCAAGGAGAATAATAATGAATAAATAAATAAGGTCTTGCTAGAGCTAGTTTCCTACTTTTCACCACTCTACACACTGTTCCGAGCTTTGTGTTATCCAGAGATCATATGGACCCCAAACATAAATCCAAGCAGCATTTCTTCTTTCAAAGCCCTTGGGCTCCATTTGTAACCTAGAACTTAATTCATTCTATGGCAGACTCCTGCTCCTGCCAGGTAACCTCCCAGAAAGAAGAACAGATGGACTGAGACACTGGATTACATGCACACAAGTGAAAACACATTTAACAACTGCAACCAGATGCAAACTTAGTATGCAAATTAATTTAAAAAAACCCAGACTGAAGAGAAATCATTCATTACAGCCATGGAAAAATTATTTCTCTACTCATGCACGTGTGTTGTGCCTCTTACAGGGAATGACACATTTTGGAGAGTGGGGGAAACATCAGAGTATTTGAACACAGGCAACTTCTCACAGTGCAGAAGTCTACATGAGACTCGCTCAGGATGTCACCGCAGGACCGAAGGGCACAAGAAGAACAGCAGTCAGCTGAAGTGACAGGAATGACCAAGATGGACGAACACAACTCATTTCAGATACAGAAATGTTTAATGGCGTTAAAGTGCTACTTTAATGGGGACCATATGCTAACATTTAAACACAATTCCACTGCACTGCTAAATATGGTTGTCTTTATTTTTTTACTTTATTTTACCTCTTTTTACCCAACCCTATCTAAAACAATAAAATAAAATCTAAAGGACTGAAATTAACAACCCATTCAAATCAGCAATAAGTTATGAATTTTATAAAGCATTTTTTTCCTCTTTTTTTTTCTTAGTAATGAGGGGTAATTAAATTACTTAAGGATATACAAAGTTTCAAACAATGCCATAGGTGAAGACTCTATTATGGTTTTTAAAACTTGGAAAACAAAATAATCCTGGCCATTAAAAAGACAAAAATAAAAAAGCAAAGCCCTCAAAGTGCAGGTTAGAATGCTTGTCTTGGAGAAAATTAGAAAACATTCGCTATAACAGCTCTTAACAGCACCTGCACAGATAAGATGGCAAGGCCCTTGGGAACAGGACGTGCAGTCAAAACGTTACATTAACATGAGAGACGTGCTGAGCTTAACTAGGTTAACTACTGGACTGGAACTTCAAAAGTCAGCAAAGGGAATGATTCTACAAAGAAAACTGAAGAAACCCCCACCAAACCTGGCCTCTTCCAGCTTAGCACAGCCTTCATCCTTTGTGTGCACGGCAAAAAAAAAGGATCTTTGCATTTCATTGGGTCAAGTGCTTCATCAAAACAGAGATCTTTTCATGGCATAAATTCATATAAAAGACATCTAAGGTTTCATATGGACAAGCTCTAAAAAGATGCATCAGACTTAGGGTGTTTTCCCTCCCAACACATTTACAAATGTTTATCAAAAAATCGCTTCAAATAAAAAGGTCATAGTGGCTCAGTATCTGGGCATGACTGTCTGGTGTGTCACCTCTCGAGTGCTGGTTTCGTTCTGCCCTCAGCTGGCCGTGTGCCTGCGAGGGGCACACATCTACCAGGGACCTGCTGGCACTGGCACAGCCCCAGGCACGACAGCCCACCCTGTGCTGGTAGATTACAGGTGTGTACCTCTTGCTTTAGCCACGCTTCAGAGGTACTCACTGTTTAAATGATGTCCAACAGAAAGCTGAGTTGAATGGTGTTCTCCCCTGAACATCGCTGCCCCTATCCCTCTGGGCACAGAATGAGACCTTAATCATTATTGTCATTGTTATTCCTAGCCTTCTTAGATTTCCTAGTACATTATGACAGCATTAGATTGTGATAAACTGTAGGATACAGTCCTTTTAGGACCACAAAAGCTCTTCAGAAGGGCCTAAATTAGGTTGTTCAACCTGAATGCAGTGTAGAAAATTTTGACATTTCTCAGATCTCATGACAGAAAGAGAGGGATGAGTAGTATCCTCTTTCAAACAATTTCAAATAAATTCAAAACAAAGTGTTTCATCACTAAGGTCTAGATCCAGGTCCCACAGAAACAAACAGATTTCATTGACTGCAAAGGGACTAGTGTTTGGCCTAACTTTTTGCCAGCAGAAATTGGGATTGGTAACATGACCAAATGAACAAATATGGGTTTCTGGGGAGGCTTCCTTTACCCAAAAAGCTTTATATACAGGTCTCTCCAGGTCTAGCTGTCAATATGTCAATTCTGAAAGAGGATACTGGCATCTAGGACCCAGTTTGATCACCCCAGTGAAATCATTCACCCTGCACTGTTGTCTCACTTGGTTCTAGGAAGCAAACGAGAGCTTGACACTGGCGCTGGAGTAACCCTCATCACTCCCAATACTCTGCAAGCTGCTGTGATCATCAATGTCACTGATGCTGGTTGTGCTGATATTGTCCACTTCTCCATGGGAGAACTCTGTGCTTTCAACGTCCACTTCAATCTCTTCTAGAAAGGGAAATGAGAGAAACGCACACGGGTTAGCACTACACACCCAACTGCCCCCTTCATGCCAGAGAGCTCCTGGGACTCCCTCAACACTGGGAATGAAGGGGTCATCTGGCAGGAAGACTTTCAGTGTTCCCCCTGGATGGGATGGGCTGTGGCCATGATTTATAAAAAGACTAATACCAGCCTGGAGCTTTTTGTAGGGATTTGGCAAAGGGGTTTCACTCCTCCACATGCCAGCCACACAGTCAGCATAAGTGAGCCACCCCACACACTGAGCTTGTCTCACTACCTCTTCCTTTGGATCTCTAATACCCCAGTGTCAGAAGAAAATAAGAAACAGATAAAATTGAGTGCAAGAGAGAAAATGGAGCATGAAGTTATCCCTAAACATGCTAGTTGCTTGACACTATATTTCTAAAGTCTGGACCACACACAATTACAATGCATTACCATGGGAATCTGGGTTACTCTCACACATGCTTAGTGGATTTTGGAACAGACATCTTGTTTTTAAGAAAGACTTTAAAAGCAAAGAGCCAATTAACCAGGTATCTTGGTTCCCATATTGTTCAGGAATTTTCCAAAAGATTTTTGTTTTAAACTACAGACTCACACCCAAACTATGCAGCTTCTTTGGTCTGTCAGTAAATATCAAACCATCTATTGTGCCTAATGTTCTCTCCACTGTAGGCATATTTTCAAAAAGGAAGTAATCTTAATTCAGTTAGCCATTTAGGTATCTCTAGCCAGTTTTGACTGAGAAGATGAACTCTACAAGAAATTTGATGGGGGAGCAGAGGGGTGAAATGTGTGAAACATTCATTCCAGTCTCATTAATATCTTCTTATATTTTCTTCTTTGTGTTGCCATGGGATTCAGCAGACCAAAAATCACAACAAGCATCTCAACTTTACCATCCCTTTCAATACAACAGAAATCAGATCAAGTTGACAGCAACAACAATCCTTCCAGACTTAGAACTCATGCAAAACACTAAACTCTCCATATGTATGCGTATGTATGTGCCTGTGTGAGAGCAGAACCAGCAGCCTAAACGTCCAAGGCCATGAGAAGGGGAAGCTGAGAGGTAAGAAATGGATGAATCTCATTCTCTCACTACAGAGTCCTGGCAATTCCATGCTGGTTCAGCAACACCCACCTCGCTCCGAGTCCGAGTGATCCGAGGAAATGGTAGATCCAATGCTGTCCATTCGTATTCGCTCTATCTCCTGAGGACCCTGTAGTTGTTCCAGTCTTCTCTTTAGGAATCTTTGTTCTCGTTCCAGGTTCTCAAGCTGGTGTTGGCTTCTCCTTTCAGCCTCTTCAAGTTTCTGACATGATCAAATAAAACACAGTAATTAGTTTTCTCCGTTTCTCCTTCCCTCCCACCTCCACTGCCCTGCCACCTGCCTTGCTTAGACCTTCCCAGTCTCAGAAGGCTTCAAGCTGCAAGTGCCCTGAACCAAGCTGCCGCGCAGTCTCCAAGCACAGTGCCCTCTCCCCACATCTTTCCACCTCTCAGGTCCTGATAAATCATACCCATTAGTACAAAGAGTCTCTGAGGACTCAGCCTCTCCAGGGGAAACGCTGTGAATTGCAGCAGTTTGTGGGTCATCCTACCCGGGATCAGACACCTGCATTACCGCTTCTGCCCACGCAGGGGCCTCAAACCCCCAAACCATCTACTCCAGGGTTTGTTACCAGCTGCTCCAACAGAAAAACGTGCCCTGGGAGTTCTGTGTTCCTTACTGCATGGTTTAGAAGGATTTCTCAGAAACAGTTTTCTATTCAGTGAGTGATTTACATAACTTACTACAGATTTCTTTGATCACAGCTGGGAAATCTACCAGGGCACTGTTCTTTGTTTCCTATGACAAGCACATTGCATAAGGAGGAGTCATTTCAGGCTAACTCTGTCCCTTTGGCAGCACTTTTCCTCCCTCATCACCCATCTTCTCTCTCTATATTCTGACCTGCAATGAAGTATTTCAGCCTCTCCCAGATTCTTACAATGCTGCATTTTCTTTTCATGTCTCACTTTGCCAAAAGTGGAGCTAGAAGAGCGCTGGACTAGCTGGAAGGTTCACACATGGAACTCCAGCAAGCCAAACCTGTCTCACACTCTTGTGGTTTGTCCTAATGCTTTGGCAGTGGAAACTCATTAGCACACCAGAAAAAAAGCTGCATTTCCCATCAAAATGCAGTCATTCAACAGTAGGTATGTTTTTCTTTAAAGAGATGTAGCTGTCAACAAATGATCACAATACAGAACAAGATCCTTGCTCTTCAAATCCATCATTTTTGTAGTTAAGGACTTCATTATGAACTCTTCCAACAGTGTGGCTTGTGGCAATGATAAATGGCTAACCAAGGGGGCAAGGTCTGCTTGCTCCTTCATTTATTTATTTATTTATTTATTGACAGTGTCATGTTTCCTTCAACAGAGTTAGCTCTAGGCAGCAAGGATGAGCAATTGCATTGCACTTCCCAAGAGCCCATGCTGAAAGCAGCAGGGTAAGGCAGCTCTTACCTTGATATGTGCTTTGGCTTTGTTGAGCAGCCCAAGCGTGGTGTGCCGGGTGCAGTCTGGTCCGAGCGGTATCAGAACTTTTAAGCGTTCTAGACACAGGCGGAGGTGAGCTCGGCTGCAAGGGGAGAACAGGAGGATCAGAGCCATGCTTTCTGCAAGGGAATGTAATTTCTTTCACTTCTGCCCCTCTACAAGGCAGTTTTCAGTTTTCAGGTTTCCCTGTTTCCACGCATCACAAGACTCCCCTCAGGTACCAGCACCAGCACTGCTGCTAAACTATTTACACTTCAAACATCAGTTGCTCACCAATACTTGCATTATTGCTAACCTCTGACAGACACTGTTTATTTTCTTCCTCTCTGAACTGATAATCTGACTCATCTGGATAAACTTTGTGCAGAGGCAAAGGCACATAGGAAAATGGTACAAGTATCTCATGGGTTTCCACTCTCTCTGAGCTATTTGCTGTCTGTTTTGCTGAGAAGAACTTCTGTGAAAGCAGTTTTGAATGACTGCTACCCCCTGCATGCTCGTTCATTGGTAGCTCAGGGACATCTGCTATGAACTGACCTGAACACCTTCTTTATGCATGAAATTAAGATCATCAATGAAAAAATAGTCAATTCAAAACACTGAAACAATCCCTGGTGGCAATTAAAGGAGCGAGAGGAATAGCAGTTCCCAAAAAACTGCACTCTTACCCCTTCCTGAGCCCAGGTCTGAAATGCTGCTAGGGGTGCAAGGTCTGTGGGAATGAGAAAACCCAAGACCTTCCCCCAGGCAGACTTCTGACCTTGGCTCACATCTACAAAGACAGGCTCCAGCACAACAGCACTGCTGGTGATATGATCCATTTTCTGAAGAATATGGCAACATGTTCTGGGGTAAATGGTTCAGTGGCAGTGGCAACATACATTGTCCTCAGGCTGCAGAGAACTGTTCCTACCATCTCCTCCTCTGGATCACATATGCAGGGATGAACAGTAGATTTGTGGAAAACTATGGAGTGTGGGTTGCCTTTTTCCCCTCCCTCTCTCTTTCCCAGACATTAATGATTTATGTCCAAAGTTGTCATCCCAATCAATAACACAATGACATCAGCTTTACCATTCACATGCAAGAAACACCAGTGCAAAAGACTCTTGAAAGCCTATCCCAGCCCCTGTTCATGGACAAAGAAACTGAATCTTAGCCTGATCCATCTCAATGCAGGGGAAGAAGAAGAAAAAAAAAAAAAAAAAAGAAAGAAAGAAAGAAAAAAACCAGTAAGGACAGTCCATTTCCATTTGTTTTTCAAATGCACTATTGCACCCAGTTTGAAAGGGGTGGGGGAGAGGAGTCTGTAATCAGGCAATTATGTCAGTGACAAGCAAGGATGATTAAGGGTGGAAGGGTCAGGGGTTTTGCTGATGAACTGTCAGTACAGGGGAGTGTTCACCGGCCCCGCTGTAGCTGTGAGCTCCTCACAGTTTCTACCATAAATCTCTTTACAAAGGGTTCATCATTCTGTCTCAATAACAGTCACAGGGCTGCATATGACCAGCAAGAGCCTTGAAGAAAACGTGTTTTCCATTAAACATTAACAAATACAGGGGTGGGGAAAGGGAAATCATAATCCAAAAATCAAACTGAAAGAACAGTAATCACATCAATCTCATCTTTTGCTTCTCAGTTTGCTCTAGGGCAAACCCCACTGTTATTAAACCCATATGGTTGACATGGGGGGATTTTTTTACCTGGAAGCCAGTTTTCCACACAGAGCTTGGTCAGGAGTGTGCACTCACTACAGGTGTTTGCCCTGTGTCCCATGATGACCGAAAGGGTAAGCAGTGAAAAAGTATTGCTGGTTCACACTGGCACTATAGTTTGTGTCATGCCACAGGAGACTGGACACTGACTTGCACAGAAATGAAAAGGAGCAGGATCTTCTGGTCAAAGACACTTTGGGGTTTGAATATGCTTTTTTGGATATGCCACAGACTTCCTGAATGTCCACACAGGCAAGTCACTGAGTCAGAGCTGTCAGAGCACAGCCATCAAGCTGCAGCACAGAGCAGCATGTGTCTCCTCACAGCACAAGGACCAGCTCCAACCACACACTTAACCTATGGATTAGCCCAAGTTAAAAACACAGCTCAGGCAGAGCTCAGCTCTGGGGGCTCCACCTAACAGCAGATTGCTATGTACACAGATGTGGAGACAGCTCCCAGCCCACGGTGAAAAAAAATTATTTGTGTAACAGGAAAAAAAAGTTTGGGAATCAACATCTAACCTGTGGCAAAGATATCACAGTCCACTCCTGAATGCAGAGAGAAATGGACAACACATCTACAGCCTGAGCTTTGGGCTGATTCTCAGTACCGTGTTTTACCAGGAACTGGGAAGGTGCTGCACTAGGAACTGCAATTCCTGGAACCAGTGATCAGCTTCAGACAGAAGCAAGCACCGGCTGGATTGCTGAGACAGCGATCAAAAGGGTGGCACTGATCTGCCACGTCAAAAGCTGGGTTATATGCAGACTGAACAAGATCAACCCTGTTAAGCACCTGAAAGCTACAGGCAAAGGTCCAGCCATGTAATAAAACCCCAGACACTTGAAAAGCTTTCTGTTGTGCCCCAGGACTGCAGTGGAGTGAAGGTTACTGCTTGTCCCAGGCTCATGCAAACCATTTTCTGAGAAGCCACTCCTGTCCATGGCTCTGCTGGCTGCTGGCCAAAGGCTGTGGCCTGCAGCAGGGGTGATGGCCTGTGCCAGCACACCAGGCATCAGGAGGGGCCACCTGTCTGGGACACGAGTGTGGTATGAGCTGATAAGCTCACAGTGGCACATAGCAGGACTTGGGCTGCAAGCACACTGCAGGGGCAGGTGGTGTTAGCTGAGCTAAGACAGGTTTAGAAGAGGTTTGACCAAAGTCATTACTTCTGTGCTGCCACTGAATTTTCCCTTATTTTGCACTCCAAGCTGAGGCACACTGGGATAGGAAGAAGCAACTAAGCCTGCAAACTGTCCTGGCATGTGAGCACATTGCTTTCCTTCAGAGAGATCAAACTGAACAACTTCCCCAGCTTTTACCCCTCCGCAGCATTCAATATCTTCCTTACCTTTTTTATTTTTAAAATCTAACCCAATCACAGTCCTTGACCTCTCTTAACTTCCAATAGCCCCAGTGGGCCATGATGGGTTCTTAAACCACAGAGCACACACTACAGGTCCGACACACTGTTGGGTGCATCAGAAATAAAACTCCAGAGCCCTGGGAGGAGATGGAGTCACTGCTCACTGGACTGGATGTGGCACAGAGAGCTATGGTCTAGCTGACAAAGTGGTGATCGGTCAAAGGTTGAACTCAATGGTCTTGAAAGTCTTTTCCAACCTAAATGATTTTGTGATTCTTTGAAAACCATCACAGAAGACTTTGCTAAAAGACCATTTCAGAGAGAAAGCAATCACAAAGCCATTAATCTTTCTTATCAAGTCCTGGAGCTGCCCCATGGCAGCTGTAATTCCACAGGTCAGGCCATGATGTGAGTGTCTTTTCCCCTTGTTTACCTGGACTCTGTTGCAATGTGGCTTTGACAATGATGCAGGCTCTTGTTTTCAATGAAAATACCAGCATTGTGCAGCCTCCAGACAGAGCCAGACAGCTTTCCATGTAAACCACTGGATTATGCCAATATTTGACGCATCTGCCAATATCTAGAAAAACAAGTCTAAAAGCCCATATTGTTATATAACAGAGAAACAAGGCAGGCTTGGTGTGAAGGGCTGCTGCCTCTTGCTCTCTTGATCCTGAGGAAGCCAGAGGATGCCAAAGGATGAGAAGGAGAATTCCAGTTTCAGCAGAGGCTGAAGCCTTTGAATGCTAACTGCAGAGGAGATGGGAGAAGCTTGAGCCCTTCCTCCTGCCAAAGTAGGAAAAATCAGGCTCTCTCAGCAGCATCCTAAGCACACTGTAGGTGCTTGATGTGTTGAAAGAGAAATCTTTGAAGTATTTGAAAGAAGGGGGCTTTCCACTTTCCCAAGGGGTCTGCCTGGTCCCCTCTTCCTGCTCAGCTTGATGAGAGGGAACTCCCGTTTGAGATTCCCATGTTGGGGGGCATTGGGATGGCCAAAAAAGGAGCAGAACACCTGAGAGGTCTCAGAAATTCAGAGCCAAACACAAGCCTTGTCCCAAAGAGCAGAGGATCACCCTTTATCTTGCTTCACCTGGCCACTCTGGCTAGGACAGAGGCCCCTTGTTGCTTGTGCTTCCTCCTGTGTGGGGCCAGGAGGAGACTAGAAGCAAGTTCCTCTGGGATGCAGAGGGCAAGCAGGGCAAGGATGCCCTCTCTTCTCTGCCAGGAGCTGCAATGGGCCAGGAGACTGCAACAGAAGGATGAGAAAGCTCAGCAGCCCCATAGCCCTGCCAGCAGGTCCACAAGGTGTAGATGCCTGCATGTGGAGGAAGGGAGTGCTGGCCCTTGAAATGGCAGCCCCAGTGCTGCTCACTGGGCACCTGCTGTTCTCCCTGCCTTCCCTTTGTGCCTGTGCAAGAGCTTCTGACTCTGGATTATCTGACTGTATCTGGATTATCTACTTCTACCCCCCAGCTCCCCTTCAAAGTCCTCTGTCCTGAGCCTGTATCAGAAGGGAGTCAGGCTCTTGCTCTGTGCAGCCCCTGCTTGCACTTGGCTCTGCCTGGCTGCAGAGGGCTGTAATTCCACAGCCTGCTCTCCTCTCCAGCTCCCAATGACATCACCCACTCTGATTATATAAAGCACAGGGAGGAAGCCTTTATTTATGCGTGCTTTTTGCTCATAGCTTCAGCTGTCTCAGTGTACAACACACATGCAAATCCCACTGCAGGAACTGGGTTCTCTTTCGCCTCAATCAAAACTGCACTGCAGAAAAAGGTGTGGGTGAAAAAAAAAAAGTCTCTGTTTCCTTCCCCCAAACCTCTGAATATATTTTTGAGGAGTTTTGGTAGGAATCAACCTAGCACAACACTCTGCACCATACCAAACTGGGCACAAAGCCACCAGCTTCCTCCCTGCCTGGGAAGTCCCCAGAGAGCTGAGGGACCTTTGCTGGCAGTTCCAAGCCGTGTCTCTGCTGGTCGTGAAGTGGCTACACTG